TCTTCATGGTGACATTATCAAATTGTTTCTGTCATTGTCTCTTAACTTGTACACTCTTTCCATTGTAGAATGGACCTTGTCATGACTTTTCATTTTATCAGCTTCACCATTTAGTAGGTACCATTAACAGTATTCTGTGTCATAAATGCAACTCAAAAGGACTTGACTACATTGGATGTAGAATAAAGAGAAATTCATCAAGAATAGACAAATTGGATTAGATGTGTTTTAAAGGTTCTATTCCACACTAAGGGTTTATAATTTTAAACGAGTCCAGTGTTGGTCAGCTAAAGAATAATTACTCTTCATTATAACTTTAGTAGAAGTTTTCGGAAGTTAGTGTGAAGGTATATATAGGGGGCACCCCCCCACAAACCAGAATTGCACTGAGCAGAGCGGACCTTTTAGTAGTCGCATTGTTCCCGCTAGGTGAACATCAAGCAACTCTGAGTGCACCCAGTGGTGTCACCTGGAATGGTTCATTTGGGTCACAGTGAATGATTTTTATAAAAGCAGTTTCACTCAAACCTCGTTTTTTGTGATGGCTAATTTAAGAACAGCGTGCAGCTGTGAAATTTTGTTTCCTGCTCCGGAAAAAGTGCTGCCGAAACTTGTGATGTTGAAGATGGTTTACACGGACAGCACTATGGGGGAAAAAAAACTCAAATGTATGAATAGTTTTCTAGTTTCCAAAATGGTGAAATGTAGATTGATAACAAACCTCATTCTGGACGTCCATCAACTTCCAAATGGAAAGCATAATCAGCATTTTCTTCTTTCCACTTATTTATCATGGCCTACATGTATTTTGCTAGCAAAGAAAGTATTAAAATTAGTTGCTGCTAACTGATTTCAAGTCAGAATAATCTTTAATTTAATGGAACCCTGGTGGTAGTGTGGTTGGTTATGTGTTGGGCTGCGATCTGTGTGGTTGTCCATTCGAAACCAGCAGCGTTCTGCAGGAGAAAGATTGGGCTCTCTATCTACTCCCATAAACTGTTAGTCTTGGAAACCTACAGGAGGTTGCTGTGAGTCAGCATTGACTCGATAGCAGTGAGGTTTTTTGTTTGTTTTAATACAACCCATGAAAAACAACTATCTGGAACTGTAGGCCACAATGACCAAATGGAAAACTCTGAAAGTACAACATTTGGCTTTATATGACTAGCTTTTGAATAACTTGTAAAGACAAAATCTCCAAATTAGTGATAATGCTGGTTTATCCTACAACTATTTGTTTAAACATGAGCAAGCCCCTCTCTCTCAATTGTACCATGCTTACTTCTTTTAACATATTAATGCTCATCCTTTTTTGAATTATAATCAGTTAAGTATTGCTTGAAAAAATCCTTTGAATTTATTAACATCTTGAAATTCTCCAAAAGATCTTAGTAAAGCAGTAAAGAAACCAGATCACTGTTAATTTAAAAATTTTTTATATTATCAAAATAATGTAAATTAATATATTCTTACAAATATTCAACATTAGGTGATGACAATGAGTAAAACCCAATTTTTCATTGTTCCGAAAGGGGCTTGATTTATACACTTGTTGGGTATTTGTTCCTAAGACTCCCCCTAGTGTCTAGATTTGGAAGCATTATTATTAGTTTAACAGGTTTTCTTTTCAGTTAATACTCAGTTGAAAATTT